CACTTCCCTTGGAAAAATCAGCACAGGGAGCCAAGGAGACCATGAATGGGAAGGTACTTTGTCAACTGAAAACACTATACAATTACATTTATCCATTCACTTTCTAACAGCATGGGTTCCAAGAAGACACTGATAAGCTTGGAAAACAGAAAAGTTCATAGTGCACTGCCAAAGAAATGTAGAAAGCTAACACTTTACTTACCTTCATAGGATCCCTAAGACATAATAGAAGCAGTGTTCACTTGTAGATACCAAATAACCATAGGCAAGCCCCCCTTGGAGGAATCTTAAAGAATGGTTTGATAGCCGGGAAGTGGTGACAGGCTATGAGGCCATATTCTTGAGTAAAAGTTGCTATTATTTGGTAATGTAATTACCCTGTAATTAGTTAGAACCACATCTGCCCAGGCATCATGCAATACTCTTTGTATATGACATTTCAGAATCTTCCAGTTATCCTCCAAGGTATATTTCAGAAGGACATTCACTATGTGATAAGGTGGGAGAAATGACTGACCATATCCTACAATGCATTGAATATTAATATTAAATATCAAAATTGGAGGCAGCAACTATCTCGGGTCCAGTTTAGTTTTCCCCAGACTCCAGTTCCTTTATTTATTTCCCAGGCCAGCCTGACTAGGGCTCAGTACAATGCTTCACAGAAGGACGAAAGCCCTAATGAGCAAATCTCATGAAATATTCAGCTGGTCTATTGGAGAAAAACAGAACAGCTGGAGCTGACCTTAGGAATTCCACTAATTCCCCCTACCACACAACCTAAAAATAGCCAAAGAGCATTTCTAGTTAGTGATGGCCTTTCCTTTAAAGGAAATACTATGCAAAAAGGCATGCTGGGGTCATTAGCCCAAACCATGCAGTCCTCATGATAAATCCTTGGCAAAATGTTCCTATGAGAATCTGCCTTCTCAAAGTCAACACTGAAATTTCATTGTGAAGGCCCTTGCTTCCCACAGCCTTCTCTACTCGCCACTGTAAAGACATACATCATCAGCCATGAATAACATGAGAAACTCGCCTCTCTCTCCTTGCCCTCAGTTTCCACACCTAAAAAAATAAAATCCTGGGCTCTGAACTCTAAGGTCTTCTCTCAGTTTATGACTTCCTAGGATGTACTCACTGCACTAACGATGAAATTCAGACCCCTCAGTGTTACATTTGTCCCTCCAGATCTGCCCTTTGAACCTTCCTTTCCATTCCTCCATACAATACCTTGAAGTTCCTTAAAGTTTCTTCTCACCACTTCTATGGCTTTGGAACATGCTACTGTGGATCGAACTCGGGACCTTGTGCTTGCAAGGCAGGCACAGTGCTGCTGAGCTACATCCTCCACCCTCTGTACTTCTTAAAGCCCTACTCATCTTTCAAGACATAGTCCAGGTCCACCTTGTTTGGGAAAATGAGATTACGCCTTCCCCCTCACATTAGGTTTAGTCTTTACCTCTGTGATCTCCCAGGACTCTGATTATAGAACAATTGTCTGCTTACTTATCTATCTTCCTGACAAGCCTGAGCTCTCTTCAAAGATAGAGATACCATGCCTATCTATTCTGTATTCCCAGCACCCAGCTTGTATCTGCCACTCAGTGTGTGATGATATTGGACCAAATTCCACCTTAGTACTGCATTTATTTTATACTGCTTTTCAAACAGATCAGAAATTTATTTTTAAGAAATATTTTCTTTACTCAAAAAGTGAGAAAGTAAAAAATCTCCAAGCTTTTTCCTTATTAGGGAAAAATATACATAGCTGTTCAAAATTGTGACATGATGTTTGCAGTACAAAAATATACATTTGTCCCAAGAGATGTCTCTTTAAACCAATGAACCACAGTTCTTAAAAAGGCAATTCAAAGTTAAAGTTAGAAATGTTTTCCAACTTTGTGGGTTTTTTAAACCAAGAGAAAGAAAAATCTCCAAAAGGAATAAATTACAAACTAAGTTTTCTGAAAGTTCTCAACCAAGCTCTGGAAAATCAAATGAAAAGCAGCAAGAAAGAATAAGATCATGTTTAGAAAAATCAAAATGCCTCCTAATAATTTTTAAAATATGTGAATATAAAAAAACTAAAGTATTACAATTAATTCATTAGACTTAATGGAAGTGTTACAGAAGAAATAAACATTGTATCTCCAATACCTTTTTCTATGTTTACTTGCAATTCTATCTTCATCCAGCAAAAAATCCAGGGAGCACTAACATCTGCATTTTATAGACAAAAAACTGAGACTGACAAAAGTTAAGAAACTTGTCTGAAACTATATTGCTTCAAAGTAAAAGAGAATTAAAGCTACCCTCTGGGTAGAGGGTGCTGCACCCAGAGAAGCACGCATATCTCGTACTTTGCCCTGTGCATCTCTCTATCTGGCTGATACCTCAGGAAGAGCAGTGATAAAAAAAGGTGAAAGATAGGCTGGGCACATGGTGCCCTGTGAAGGAAGCCAAAGACACAAAGAGAGCTGGGGTTTCCTTCAAACCCTGTATGCCCAGAACTCTAAGCTTTGCAGCACACCACATTGTTAAACTTGATGTGTATACCAATTAGAAAGAGATTTTCACTCTTTTATGTGATCCCACTTTAGCCACATATGTAAATAAACTCAAAGTGGAGAGAGCAGGTAGGAAGTACGATTGTTGCAGCATCAGGGAATCTATTTTTAAATCTTCATGAACAACAAAAATCCTTGCCTTGATTTGGGAAAGAGCTTTATTGTACTAGTCAGACCTTAAAACACCTCCAAAGGCAGGCAGAAATGATTACTGATACGTCATGAGTCAAGGTCAGCTTATGCCCTGTGTAGAACAAAGTGCTAGGCTCTGGACCTTGCTCTGCCACTAATGTGGCACTTTGGTTTCATTCACCTCTCTGGTGACCTCACCTGTGAAATAGGCTATGTGAACTCTGAGCTCTCAGGAACTTTCCAACTTCTTTCCTCATGGACATAAAACCAAATGATAAAATTAATGCCAACATCACCACTATGCCAGCTGAGGGAGAAAGACATGTAGAGGCTGATGGAGAAAAATAAGTCATCAAGCCACCCAGTGCAAAATGCCTTTTATAAACTAAATAATTTCCACCTGATGTAGTTATAGTAAAGGAGAGAATTAGGAAAATTGGATATAAAATTAGACAAAACATTTTTTTCCTGTCCCTTTCTTTGTCCCTTCTTCTTTACTGAGTGCATCCTGTATAGAACTGAAAGAGGTTATCAGACCTGGTTTCTGTCGTCAAGAAGATTTTGGCTCTGAGTAACAGTAGCACTCCCATTCACACAACGTTGAGGGTTTATACGGCACTCTTCACACAGGAAGACGCAGAGCTTGGGTAGGAATTTACATCATCATAACCCCCTACTACAGATGTGAAAACTGAGGCCCAGCAGGGTCAAGGGGCTTTTCTACTTGTGGTCACACAGTGACACAGCTGGGAACATAATACGTTTAGAAAAAAAGAAAAAGAACCAAAGGTAATAGGCTCTACTTAAGTGTCAATCATATGATTAGAAAAGTAAAGAGACCAGGGCAAGAACTAGAAGAGGTGAGATTTGACTTGAACTTCAGACAGGGACTACACATTAGACAAATCCCATGCCTACTCACTGACTTCAATGCAGAAGTCAGGACAGTACTACTTTGAAGAGGGTGGAGTACAGAAAACAAAAGGATGTCTGTATTTATACATACACAAACATGTACTGTCTTTTTTTTTTGGTACCGGGGATCCAACTTGGGTCCTTGCGCTTGCAAGGCAGGCAATGGAACCACTGGGCTAAATCCCAGGCCCAAAAATGTATTGTCTTCATTTAAGAAGAGGACATTTTTTAACCACCGTCAGTAATCAGCATGTGTATTTTTCCTAGGAGTAGAAATAGGCAGCCCTGTGTCTCACCTCTCCCTTGGCTCTCAGAATAGGCCTCAGAAAAAAAAGCATACATGGAGTTGAAGTTACTGCTGAGCAAAGACAAAAACACTTGACCTTGGTAATTTTTTTTTTAGTTCCCTCCAGGTGAGGCCCTTTTTATTTTTTACTCTTTTCTTTTTTCAGTGCTGGGGATGAACCAAGGGCCTTGTGCCTGCTAAGCAAGCACTCTACCACTGAGTTACATCCTTCACTGGACTTTGGCATTCTTGACCATTGCTGTAACTGAGCTAGCAGGCCTTCTCCAGCAAGGTGTTCCTCTCTGTGGGTGTGACTAATCACATGCTTGCACAGCAAGCCTAACCTTCCCAGATTGCATTCATTATTACCAAGGCTCAAATGTGTAATTAATGAGCAACCTGGATCTGCTCCTGAGGCAGGAAGGGAGAGGAGGGAAATGGCTGGGAAAGATTTCAAGGTGATGATAGAACCTCAAAATTAAGGGTTTAAAAAACAGGTCCCAGCTCTGTGTATAGACATCCAAAAAAGTAAATCAGGAGAGTGTAGAATCAAGTGGAGGTACTTCAGAGGGAAAAGACCTCAGACACAAAAGAGAATGAGATTTAAGTTAAACCACAAAGCTGTTTAAACTAGGTGATGAGAATCCTAAGGTTTACTCTTAGCAGAATTACAGGTATTACTTGTTACTGGTGAGATTTTAGTCAACCCTCCAGAATTCTGATTCCCATTTTATTTCATCAGGGAACACTTCAAACAATACCTATTTAAATCATCACGGGTTCTGAGATGAAATTCACAGGTGAAATTCATATAACATAGGCTATGATTAAATTAAATAATCCTTTCTCACCTCCACCCCCCACACAATAGGGTGTAGGCAGGAATAGGATGGAGATAGAGATAAAGTGGGTGTAGGGACTATTTGATACTGCTACCCAGAAAGTGGTTTTAGATTTTGGACTTGAAGCTGAAAGTGCCTCTTCTACCAAAGGGAATTTAAACTCCTTTTCCGTCACATCAGTACTAATTATGGAGTGAATGCAATGGTGGAAGTGAATAAGAGCTCCCAACTGGAGAAAAGAACTACTTCCAGTACCTGTTTTAGATTTTCTGGCAGTTTGAAGAGGTCATCCAAAGGGAGCAAAGCCCTCTGTAGACACCTACCAATGAAGACTTGAAGACTTGACTGATAATATCAGCTTAGTCAGGAGGAACAGGACGCACACAAACTATCTGTATAATTTACACACACACACACACTCACAAATATATTTAGTTCTCACTTATTTGCAAACAAATGAAATCCTGAGAACTGCTCACCCCATTATTACACAGAGAAAGCTAGGCTGGGTGGTTGCTAAGTGACTAGAAAACCAGCATTCTGGCCCCCTGGTAAGTAAAATCAAGCACCCTTCCCCTAGAATGTTCCTCTAGAATATTCCTTGTTAAAATGTTCTAACAAGGTTTATTATGATTCAGATGTGATCTGAATACAGATTATTGGAAATACAGATAAAGTTTATTGGGAGGGAGGCAGTGGGATTATATGTCAAGTTATTGCTATTGTTTCTATGAAGATCCCCTGTGATGAAACACACATAGCTGTCTCACCAAATCTTCAACACTGTAAGGAAAGCGGAATTATCATTCCTATTTTACAGAAGAGGAACTGAGCTCAGAAAAGTAGGATGATAATTTCACTTCTGTATATCCTTTTAAATATTATGTCATAAACAGATACATGTATGCATGTCTTAGTCACTCTCTTGTCAATGAGACGCAATACCTGACAGCTGCCACTTAAAGGAGGAAAAGTTTATTTTGGCTCACAGTTTGTAGAGGATTCAGTTCATAGTTGGCAGGCTCCTGGGCAGGATGGTATGGCACAGGGGCATCGCAGAGGAGAGTTGCTTAAGGCGGTTGCTCAAGGAAGCATTGAGATTCAAGGGAGGATCTAGGAAGGGAGATAAACCTTGCTGGGTCACGCCCACAGTGACCCACCTCTTCTGACCAAACCCCACTCTTCACAAAAAGTCAACTACAATGTCTCCATAATCCAAAAAGCCCCACCTATGATCACATGAGGCTTTCAAGGGACATCTAGATCTAAATCATAACAATGTATTTATATATTAAGGATATAAGCTACTATGCACAGACTGAATAATGGTATTTCAAGTTCTCACTTCAGAAATTACAAACATATGGGTCAGTTAGTACTCACATCATTTGCCCCCTAGGGAGGTAGATCTTAAATAAAAGGTCAAATAATATAAAACCAAAATTATTTGGTAAAATAATCTTATCCATAACTTTAACTTCAGAGGAAGATAAACACTCATTTTACAAAATTTTAACCAACAAAAGTCAGTCTTTAAATACTTCCTAAGGTCACACCGAATGAGAAAGAATCACAGACACATCTCACTGCAGAGAGGAACCATGATAGCAGGAGGCTGGTACGTACAGAGGAAAGAACCCTGTCTGGAGCTCAGGCAAGGTCAATTTTACTACCAGCTTAGTCCCTCTCAGAAATGCTAGGCAAGTCACTCAACCTGAAGCTTCTATCTCTTCATTTGCAAAATGAGGGCACTAAATTTCTCCTAGACCCCTTCTAGTAATAATAGTCTAACTCAAACTGGTGAAAGAGCACAATCCAGGCCACAGAAGAATTTGGCTACAATGAATCATGGCCCTGTATGATGTGTTTATCACTCATTACATTTCAAAGCCTGGAGGAACACCACTCCAAAGTTTGCAGCCATTCTTGCGGTAGAAGAGCCTCCTCTGAAGACTGGAGAATTTTCAACCAAATTAAATATTCCTCTGTGATAATTTTGAAATATATATTTGGGCTTTATCCTGGTTCCCCCCTAACATACACCTCCCAAACCCTTGAAATCTCTCGAGGGATGAAGTCTTTTGAATACCAGGGGTAGCCCCTAGGGAGCCTTAGGATGGAAGCTGGTTAAAGGAAAGTCCAAAGCATGATTACAGGTTTGGGATTTCAAGCCTACTCTTCAACCTCTGGGGAAGAGGGAGGGACTAAAGTTTAAATTGACCATTAATGGCCAATGATTTAACAACTGTGCCTACATAGTGAAGCCTCCAGAAAATTCTGAAAGGGTTGGGTTTTGAGAGCTCCTGGGTTGCTGAAGGTGTGGAGGTTCCTGGAGGGTTCTGCACCCAGAGGAGCACATATATCTCATCCTTTGTCCCATGCATCTCTCCATCTGGCTGTTCAGCTGTATCCTGTGCAATATTCTTTATAACAAACTGGTAAATCAAGTAAAGTCCTTCAGTTCTATGAGATGCTCTAGCAAATTAGTTGAATCCAAGCAGGAGTGGTAGGAACCTCAAGTATAGCCAAGGGATCAGAAGTACAGGTGACAACTTACTACTTGGCAGTTGTCATCTGAAGCAAAGGCAGTCTTGTGGTACTAAGCCCTTACCCTATGGCATCTGAGGCTACCTCCAGGTAGTCAGTGACAGCACTGAGTTAGAGGATGTGCAACTTGTGTCCACAGCAGAATTGTTTGGCTGATATGTCACACATCTAGGGTCATGGAAATGTTTTGTGTGATGGTAAGAAAAGAATATAAAAACATACTTTTGTTTTTCTCATGTCCTTGTATACTTGTTCCTGATGGTAAAAAAAAAAATTTAAAAAAGCAAACTAGGAAAAATTAGTTAACATTAATAAGAGCAATAAGACTTAAGGGCTTACATAGCACTTAACATATGGTAGGCACTGTTCTGAGTACTACACATGCATTAAATTACCAATTTCTCACAACAGCACGATGAGGTAAGCATTTTATAAACAAGGAAACAGGTTCAGAAAGTAACTAGTGATTCATCCAGGCAATGCAGCTTCAACATCCTCACTCCTGGCCTCAAGATACCACACTGCCTTCTTGCATAGAGGTGTCACAAAGCACAGGGTGGTTCTCTCGTTGGCCAGGGTTATACCTTTCATTGGTCTTTGGTTTTTCTTACCCTTTTCTCTCTGATCCTGCTAGACTCTGGCTTTGCTCATCTTCTAATCTCCACCTCAGATTCTGCACACAGATTTCTTCAGACTGGACTTTCCAAGCAGATCAAGGAGCCAAGACCCCAGGAGGCCTCCAGCTACATGTTGGGCACTACTCAGCCACAATAGCCCTCTGCCATGTGCTCCACAACAGACGTACAACCTTCACAGGGTAACTGAAAACTCCTCTTTCTTGAGCCCAGGGAGAACTCTCACCAGTCAGAAGGGAAAAGAAACATTTCCTCAGGAAAGGCATTTGATGAACTCAGATAAACTGGGATTATGCTTTGCAAAAGTTTAATGTTGCTGATGGTGCAATGCAATAGTCTGAAAATAGAGCTGGAGATTTCAGGGCTGCTGAACCACTAACCACCTCAAATTCCTTCTGCCTTATTCTTCCATTAGGAAGCCAAAGCCACCAAGACGAAAAATAGAGTAGGGATCCTTGTGAACGTCTTGTGAAAAAGAATAAGTAAATTAAAAGAGATGTGAGATGTGAGGAACATATTCTTATCTAGAGATATGCTATTCTCTGCCTCATTGCTTTTCTGGTCTTAGATATTATAGAAGAAAAAAGTGAAAGATATTAGAGAAGATCAAGTGGGCTGCAACACTTTTTCATTTCAAATTCAGAGTCCATAATTATGTTATTCACTAGCACAATGGCTTTCAAATGCTACTGCCACCTAGGCTGAAATACAAGGGAAATAAAAGATATCATGGGATTTAACTTTATTACATATTTTATTAAATTTATGTACATTAGAACCACAGAAAATTACCAGCTTTTAACATTTACATATACAGAGAATTATACAAAAAATACATCATCTTGAATCTTAGTTTTTAATTCTTTCCACAGTTCCACAAACCCACTGATCTGTTAAGGAAAACATGTTTCTATCATCCAGATTATAAACTGGTTTCAATCTGTCTTGGGAATCACTAGTTATTCAACCCCATAGCCTGTGGCTGCCTGCTGTAACATATCAGCATTTGCATGTAGTATCTTCTTATTTGGGAATTTTTTTCTCATTTGAACCAATCACAAGAGGCTTCAAAGTAGAAAGGGAAGAAGTGGGAGGTAAGAAAAGTAATTTAAGCCAAGAGAAAGCCCACACTCATTCCACATTGAAATCATAACCATGTAAGGTTGGTGAAGTAAAAAGGACTTGAATGCCCTCCCAAAAGCTAGGTGGCAAAGTACCCATGAGATCTATTTACTCTGTGAAATTCAATCTCACCTGAAGATACAGGTTTTTGTAATTCTAAACAAAACTGAAACAAAATGACATTAATTAAATGCCGGAGTAGATAGGACAGAGTTTCAGACAAATAACACAGCTTGTTCAAGGGCAGCTGGAAATGAACCTTTAAGGATGGAAAACAGAAGGAAGAAGAGGGCTCCCCCTTTTTCTTAACCATCACTGGGCAAAAGTCGAACTTCTTCCTAGAAGTAAAATTCCTTGTCTAATGGTTTTATAAAAAGGAAAGAAAATCTTAATGTCTGCAGACACTTCTTCCATTTCTGTCTCCAAAATAATTCAAAAGACTATTTTTTAAGACTTTCAATGAGAATTTTAATCATCATGAAAACTTATAGAATGTTTGAATTGGCCCAGGAGATTTACAGAAAGTAAAATCCCCAAATTTTAGTTCTCAAAGTCAGAATCTACAGGAGCTTAAATGAAGCCTAGCCTTCAGTTTGCTTTTCTCCAAAGAAACTATATATTGAGAGCTATAGGCTACTGAAATCCAAGGGTCAACAAAGGTAATTTTTTACTCTATTTCTCAGTAGAATATAAGTAGCACAATGCCCGACTCAAAAATATGTGTTGAAGGAGATGTAAAAAGAGTTAGATGTGTCATGTACAAGTACCAACTCTCCATGATAAATGTAATAATTATGTACTGCAAACATGTACTAATAAAAAATTTTTAAACAAAAAATACTTGAAGAGTACTGAAACAATGAAGTACTATTTCCAAGGAAAGAGTAACAGTGATGCCCAGTTGACACTCTGCCTAAGGTGAGACATAAATATTCCTTTAAAAATAAAATACTATTTTAAAAATGCTGTTTCTACTAGCTTTATCTGTATTAGCTACAAATCAGAAATAGCCACCGTGTTCTTCCACAGGTGAATGGTTAAACCCTGGTACCTCTTGGTATATCTACACTATGGGATACTATTAAACAATAAAAAAGAAGGAACTATTTTTGTTTTTGTTTTGTTGTTGTTGTTT